TACTGATGGGGACAGGTCTGTTGCTGTATAACACTGGGGTACAGTACCGGTGGGGGAAAGGTCTGTTGCTGTATAACACTGGGGTACAGTACTGGTGTGAGCAGGTCTTTCGCTGTATAACACTTGGGTACAGTGCCGGTGGGGTCTGGTCAATCCCTGTATAATACTGCCCTATGGTGTGTTATGGGATTGGTGTGTGTGGTAATGTCAGCACAGACATGAGGGAGGTCAACGAGGCGGGTTTGGTCAGACAAGGTGAGGGATCTTATTGAGGCCTTGCAGTGAGAGTCTCTCCAAAGACAAAAACTCAACACAGCTCACAATCACACCGCTCACCGGGGTCAGAGAGAGGGGGGGAAAGAGGGAGAGGGAGTGAGGGAAGAGTGAGTGAGACAGGGAAGGAGAAAGGGAGAGAGAGAAGAATGGACAGAGAAAGGACAGAGAGGTAGCGAAGGAGTGAGGGTGCGAGAAAGAGTGGGAGAAGTGTGAGAGAGAGAGGGAGGGAAGGACAGGTGGAAGGAGAGGGAGAAGGAAAGTGTTTCAGAGAAAGGACAGTGTGAGAGAGGGAGGGAAGGAGAGAGGCGGAAGGGGGGAAGGAGAGTGGGGCGAAGGAGAAAGAAGGGAAGGTAAATGAGGGAGAGAGAAAAGGAGAGTGCGTGTGAGAGAGGAAGAGAGGGAATAAGTGTGAGAAACAGAGGAAGGAAGGAGAGTGAGAGAGGGATGGCAAAGACATGAGGAGGGGATATGAGTAAATATCTGATGAGTGGAGATAGAGAGTGTGGGAAGGTCAGCGAAAAAGAGAGAGGGGGGAAATGTGAGGAAAGACAGAAGGGGAGTAAATGACTGAAGAGAGAGAAAGAAGGATAGCAAGTAGGGACAGACTGAGACAGAGGGGGAAGGAGAGGGAGAAGTTGAAGAAACAAGAGAGAAAAATGAGTAAAAGACCGACAGAGAGAGGAAATTACAGAGTGAGAGAGACAGGGAAGGTGAAGAAAAATGGGAGAGGGAGAAGGCAAGTTAAGGGCTGAAAGAGAGGGAGAGAAAAGAAAGGTCAATGAGAGAGAATCAAAGCAGGGTATTCCAAGCCCCACAATTCCCAGGCCGGACACGGATGTGAATGATTTAATTTGAAGAATCCCTGCAGTGTGGAGACAGGCCATTCGGCCCATCGTGTCCACACTGCCCCTCTGAAGAGCATCCCACCCAAACCCACCCCATCCCTGTAAACCCAGGATGTCCCACGTCTAACCCACCTAACATGTGCATCTTTGGACTGTGGGAGGAAACCGGGGCACCCAGATACGGGGAGAATTTGCAAACTCCACACAGGCAGTCACGCGAGGTTTGGAATCAAACTCAGGTTGCTGGAGCTGTGAGGCGGCAGTGCGAACGACTGAGCCACCTGTCTGATAGAATCAGGTCCACATGAAAACGCTGATCAGGTTCCTGGACTTATCTTTCTGTTCAGAGATGTTATGACATGCTTCTGGAGCAGGTGAGCCTCCCGGTCCAGGGCTAGGGGCACTGCCACTGGACCAAGAGAGGGCCCTTCCTGAACTTATCAAGAACAGTTGCTTATTCCAAATAAGCAAATTATAATCACAAATAAGTAGCCATGAACTAACATGTGGCTCCAATAGTTGGAACCCTCACCCCTTTAAAAACATACACACACAGACATACACAAGCAATCAGTAAAAAAAAGTCTTAATGGTGAAGAGAAGAAAATGGGGAAGCTCAGTTCAATAGCACCAGTCCACAGAGTTGGCTCAGATGATCCTTCACTGGAGGAGTTTCAGTTCTTAGCCTCCATTCTCAAGGTTCTTCCCCTACTTCACAAGAGACACCGGGTGACTGGCATAGAAACTACAGAGTCTCTCAGTTACTGGTTAAAGGCAAAAGCTAAGAACAGCTTGGAGGAGAAAATACAAGCTCTTGTCTGGCTTCAGGTAAATTTACAACACAGAGAGCCACATGCAACCTGATCTCAGTGTGGACAAGGGCACAGGCTACAGGGAGGGAGAGTGCAAAACCAAAACTCATTGGTACACACAATGGTGAGCGTCAGTACTGACAGTAACGGGCATGCGGAGGTTCAAAACTGAGGGAGTGCTGCACTGTCAGGGGGGTCAGTACTGAGGTTGCACTGCAATGTCAAAGGTTCAATACTGAGGGAGCACTGCACTGTCGGAGGGTCAGTGCTGAGGGAGCGCCGCACTGTCGGAGGG